GCTTTTAAGGCATTTTGAGTTAAATAATTGACATGTCCACGTGATGTTGCATGAACAGTGATTTGTTTTCATAATTTTCCAATTAAAAAAACAAATCCTAATCCCCCCAGTTGGAACGATAACATTAGCTAGTTTATCAAAACTTAGATGATTGCCAGATAATTGAACTCCAGAAGAGTTTTAGAGAATTTATGGCATCTTATGTTTGTTGCAAATCAGGGAAGTGCAGTGGTGCCTGGAGGCCTTTGTAGTTCTTTCTAATTGATCCCTTTTTCAAACAAAGTAAACAGTTTTTCTGGGAATTGGTAACGCTCTCGCTCTCTACAGCTTAGAGTTGGCAAACAAATCAATAAGCTTGAATACATTAGCTGCATCCAACTGAGATTTTCATGTGGTGCAGGTTTGACATAGGTCTGTCATGTTGTCTCTCATGAAGAAACAGAAAACAAGGAGTTTAAATTCAAGCCTGCAATGAGGATGTAGTCAGTTATACCCTTTTTAAGCACACGGGTGGCTGGAAGCTTTGATATGAGGGCATCAGACCACAATGCATCACTAAAATGCAATATTCCCTTTATTTACAGTCATGTGTCTTATCCCCCTCCAGCATAATTAAGGACATATAAGCCAGAAAAAGGGGAATGTTCTTTTTAGGATTTAAGTGGTCAGCAAGAAATAAAGAGGGATAGAAAGAAAGTGTTATCATAAGACAAAGAGAATTAATAAAACAATTCTGTACCAGGTCAACTGATGCAATAACTTAAAGGACGATAAGGGCCTAATCTAAAATCATCTTGTGGCAGGGGCCATCTTAAAATAAGATTTGGACAGATGACATGCAAACAAATACTAAGAACCAACAAGGCAAAGTGACAATCCAAAGGGAAATGACAATAACACACACACACACACACACACTAATTGAGGGAGTGGTTTGAGTGTGTCCATCTTTGAATATGCTCACGAGCTTCTAATGACAGCTTTACAGAAAACGACATAGCATTAAAACATGTATCTTCAAAGGAAGCAATGAAATAAAAAGCCTACAAATAGTAAAGTGAAAGGAAAGAAAAATGCAAAGCGGAATGCTCTTCTTTTGACCAACAATGAATACAACATGAGCTGAGGAAGAAAAGAAAATACAGATCGAGACAGGAAGCAAGATTCAGCACCTCGGATAGCTCCAAAGTGCAGCACAGTGCAGTCGGTTCTGAGCTGAGTCGTGATGAAAGTAGGAAATGGAAGAGAAGAACAATAGCAAAGAAAATCTGTTTAAGACAAAAACAGAGATATTTAGACCATGTAGAAGAGATAAGCATTATTCGAAATAGCTGATAAGGGAAATAGAGAAAGGCTTAATGCTACTTAACATATCCATCACTCTCTATCACGTGTGGTCCCATTTATGATTTATAACAGAAATTGGACATCAAAAATAACTTTCAGGATGTCCTCACCATAATAGCTTTTTAACAAACCAAGCTCAGATCAAACCATTTGGGGTTTACTTAATTGGAGCAGATGCAGAGAAACAGTAAGATGTCGATAGTCATTGAACATCTCGCCAAAAGTAAACACAATTATGTGGAAAGAGTATCCGAATACTTTTGGCTCTATAGCGCATACAGTAGTGTAGAGTGCAGATCTGACTATTTTTATTATAATGGAATAGAGACAGATAAACGAGTTACATCGATCTATAGTCTAAGTTGACAAAAGAGCAAATAAGCATATTAATCAAAATGACAAACTATTCCATTAAAGGACAATGGGAAGCATGAAAGGCCTAGTGTTTGTATTTACTATGGCTCATGGCACTGGGGAGTGTGGAACTGATTGCAGTTCGCTGTCAAGCTCAAGGGCACTAAATCTGGATCTGCCGGACAACAGCGGCTATGCTGGGGATATAAATATAGACGCTGTGAGAGGTAGAGCGAGAGAAACTGAAGCAGAGAGGCAACAAGTCAGAAAGAGATAAAGAGTGATGGAGGATGGCCATACTGCTGGTGCTTCTGATAAGCGCAGAGGGCCATATTAATGTCAGGTTGTTTTTCCTATTACAGCACATGGGATAGTATTTCTTCCGCCAAACAAACAAGGACATCTGCTCAGTCCTCATCTTGTCCTCTCAGGACTCATTTGCCTGCTCCACAAGTGTCCGCTCTATCTGCCTGTGCAGACAGCTGATTTAGTGCTGGCAGCTATTCACAGGCTGTCACTGGGATATTGTTATGGTGCCCTCCTCGTGACCTTCAACTTGACACTGAACCTTGTAATTGATTTACTCAAGGTTGCCCATCCCTATCTCCAGACCACAGTGAGTGTGTTTGTGTGTGTATGTGTGTGTGTGTGTGTCAAACTTGTGACCAGTTACCAATAACCTTGGCAGGCAAGTTTTCCTCAGGTGTGTCATTATTTCTGACGGCTCTGATGCACATGCTAAATTAGCAGTGGCATGCTGTGTGTGTGTGTGTGTGTGTGTGTGTGTGTGTGTGTGTGTGTGTGTGTGTGTGTGTGTGTGTGTGTGTTTACATGTTGTGTGCGCTGTGCCTACGATTATATGTTCTCTGCATATTCCACCCTCACGCTTCTTCCATCCCTTGTCATTCATTAACCTTGTTTTTAACAGCCGAGCTGATTATTACTTCATCCTCCCACCACTGGGACACATGGACTGACACATGCTTGAATTCCTTCTATTTAATTACAATCAATTCAAAAAAGATGTAAAAGAAAAGAGTATACAAAAGGCATGTGAAGATTGTAAAGAAGTCAAGGCTTTATCAAAGTGTAGAGAAATCTCAACATTATTCTGCTATTATATCACACAAATGCTGTGTGAAGATTAGGAAAGACTATAAATACAAAATGATGTACTACCTTTATCGACAGCAATTTCCAAAGGCACATTTACATGTATCCTCTTTGCTGGATAAAGCATGGGTACGGTGGGTGAGGATACACAAACGTGAACAGCTTTTGCTAATATTGCTTATGATGTTTTGGTTGTGACAGCATCAAAGAGATGCTCGCCTAAAAGCAGTTTTGTCCCTTTTTCAACTTCTCTTAATTGCTATCAAATGTTTGGAGAATCTCCCCTTCTTCCCAGCTTTCACAGAAAAGCAATGTTTATTTAGGACTTGCGTGAAAAAGGCATAAAGCCAGCTAACAGCAAACACACGCTTATATTGTTGCTGTCCACTAGATATAGGAGCCAGGGGAGATATTGTGGTACACCAGGACGTTCTGTCCCTTCCGCCTGAAAATCCTACCTTAATCTTTAGTCCATAGTTTGAGGTGAGAAGTTGAAGGGCTCTTTATCTACTGTGAATAATGTGGTTTACAAACTGATACACACACATACACATACACACACAGGGTTGAAAAATCTGATCCCACACAAAAGTTAACTGTGCTCGAAAGCCAGTGAAATGTATGATGCTATCTGCCTAAACTCCTGCAAAATAACAGTTGAAAGGCCAAAATAGATAGTAACACATCCCCTATTTCACTCTTTCTATCTCCTTCGCCTTCCACCGAAAGTGCAGTTTGTTCCTCTATTTGTCCACTCAACCTGTCTCTAAGTCTGTATATCCGCAGTACTGCTCCTTATACAGTACTCCACCTCCGGATGAATAAGAGATGAGGGGATAAGGGAGGACAGGATGGAGGTGAGGGAGAAGTGAAGAAGTGTAGTGGAATCCGGACAGAGTCGTGAGGAGACAAGGGTGTAAATGGATCTTGAGGAGCCGGTGTCCCCTGTCCCGGGACCATGAATTAGTCATGTAGATTTGTAATGGAGTGAGCCGTAGACAGACAGACACAACCAGTCAAACAAAGCCAATTCACTCATTCAGAAGAGTTAGGTGTGGCTGTAAATCACTCTGTGAATGGAAAGCTTTAGAGCAGGGTGTTACGATGTGTGTAGGAAGCAGGACCCAAATGCAGATTAAAGTGACAAAAATAACTCCTTTATTTCAAGGCTAAACTATTCACAAAGACTGAACAGAACACTCACCGCAGACCAAGTCA